GACGTACGCCGGGGTAAGGAGGGGAGGCTAGACCGTCCAAATTCACAGCCTCTCTTTTTTTCCGGTCTTCCCGGTCTACCAAGGACCCGGCCCGCCTCAACCGGGGAGTCTGGGTCCTCCAGAGGACCCGGCCTGTCGTTTTGGACACAGCCATAAATATGGCTACAGCTTAGTCTGAGCTAACACAGGGTGGCACTGCGGCTCAGTTGGTAGAGCTATTGTATCCCAGTAAGAAGGTTGCCGGATCAAATCCTGGCCATGAACCTTTCTGTGTAGAGTTTGCATGTTCTCTCTGTGCATGTGTGGGTTTTCTCAAAATACTTTCCTCCCACAGACCAAAAACATGACTGTTAGGTTAATTGGTAACTTTAAATGTCCTTAGATGTGACTGTGTTAATGGCTGTTTGCCTGCATGTGCCCCTGTGATGGACTCTTAACCTATCCAGGGTGTACCCCAGTGACCCCCGTGACCCTAAAGCAAGAAGCAGGTTCAAAGGATAGATGAGCTAAATTCAAGCACTAACAGATAACATTGAATGCAATTACAGTATGTGTTATTTTTTTTAAAGAATTTGTTCCTAATTCGTGGTCCAACCAGATTTACAAAAAATTAAAAATATAAAGAGAGTCTACCGAGTTTTTCTGCTTAAACACACAAATGTGTAAGGAAATTATGGACATCAAATTAATTCAGACCAATATGAGTTGACTAGTTTCAGACTAGATTCAGACCCCTGAAATAAAAAGGATCACTGGTTTCAGACACATGGAACAAAATAGTCTCAGACTGATTTAAGCTCAAACTGATCTAGGACCCTTGGAATACAACTGGTCCAAACTAGTTTCAGACATCTGGAGTTAAACTGGTCTCAGACTGGATTCAAACAAAGGAAATAAAACTGGTAACAGACTGGATTTATACCAGTTGAACAAAACTGGTCATAGACTAAAACTGGTCTCAGACTTGTTTAAGACACGTGAAATGAATCTGTTGTCTCAGACAGGCAGTGGCGCCTGCAGAAGTTTCTTACAGGGGTGGGGGGGGGGGGGGGGGGCACTGAAAAACCAGGGGTGGCACACCAAACCTAATATCCATAACATAAGTTTTATGTGGTTGTAAAAATGACAATTTGAAAACTATGACAGTATAAGAGCCATGGATTTACCAACAGATGTTCAACTTTTACGAATAATATTACTGATTTTGTGACGTTCAGAGACAAAAACAAAAACAACAACAAAAAAAAAAACAAGTATCAAAACTAGCTGCACTTCCACAACAGTTCATTTCTAACTCGCTCTATATCTTTACACATGGAGTACCATAAATTGTCCTTACATTTGTTACATATTTCAGTGGCATCAGAAGTATTTGTAATGTTGGGGGGACCCACTGGCGGGGGGTCCCCAGAAAAAATTGAAAGAAATAGATGCCAACTGTCGCATTCTATTTAACAGGTTAAGCAAGAGAAACAACACAGAGTGAACTAATATTTTATGGTAAATGTTGGGGTACAAATGAATGAAAATTTAAAATGTGATGGGAAACTTCTCTTCAAAATTAATTGCTGTGATGTCTGTCATTTTATTTAAAAATATCAAAATATATATTTACAAGGAACAAGCTTTTTAAATGTTAAAGCCATCACCTCTTCTATGTATGTTAAAAGGTAGACATTTACTTTTAAGAAAAACTGTCATTATAAAAACACAAAACTGGAAATAAAGACCAAATCAAGCACAATTATAAACTACATCTACAGTAGTGTTATCCCAAAATATTAAGTTATTTGATTTTTCACGACATATTAGTTCTAATAAAAATGATTTTGGTCTGTGAGAGAAAACTGGAGTACCTGGAGGAAACCCACTCATGAACAGAGAGAGCATTACACAACCCAGAAAGTTGATCTACTCTTCTTCCTTAGAGGCAATATGTTGCTCTACCAACTGTGCCACTGTACTGCCTAATTTAATACTCATTATATAATTATTTAAATTATTTAATATTTGATTAAAATATATCTATGAATTAGGGCTGTGAAATTAATCAAGTTAATTCTGATTAATTTTAGTGCTGCATGGGCATTGATTAAAAATTTTAATCGCGATTACAATTTACACTCACTTTACTCTGGCTGAATATGTAGGTTTGTATATTGCGATGCACTCAGTGCAGCCAGGTCATGTTTGTAAATGAGAAGTGGTTCTCAAACAGTTTACCTGGATAAATAAAGGTTAAATAAATAAAATAAAAAACTCCATGTGTAAAACATTATGTACATGTTTTTTTTTCTTTTTGTTGTCTTATGGCTTATTTTATTTTATTTATGTTTTATTGACAACTTTGACCTTAGTATCTATCTTTCATTCCTCATGGACTCATTTGGAATGAAAATCCTTGAATTCTTGATTTAACCTCATTATTCTGCACAAAGTTTAACTGACTCTAATATGTTTGGAGCATTTTTAGGTCCTGTTTTATATTCAAAAAAATCATGTCTAAGCATCAGTTTTGTTTTCTAAATAAAAACATTAAAAACTAATTAATAACTCAAGTAATTTATTTTATCAATATGCACTAGAAATGTATATTAAATTTAAGATTAAGCATGATTAATTCACAGCTACGTTGGGATTAATCAGATTAAAAATATTAATCATTTGACAGCCCTCCTGAGAACCTCCATCTTTATTTGAGAACATTGGTTTTAGTCTGGTTGTCTTTATTCTGAGGAACTACATTTTAATTTTATTTTAAATAAAAATAAATTAATGTTTTTAACTCTTAACTGATAAAAAAATCAATGTTTGTTTTTATATTCATGAGATTCTATTTCTAAAAAGGGGAATTGAAAGAGGAAAAACCTGGGGGGGCACTGCAGACAGGTATCAGACCCCTGGAATAAAACTTCAAACTAGTGTAAAACCCCTGGGATATAAATGTTTCATATTGGATTCAGACCAAAAGAACAAAAGTGGTGTCACACTGGTTTAAGACCCCTGGAATAGAATCAAGAAATAAAACTAGTTTCAGACGTGAGAAAACATAAACCTGGTGTTAGGTTAGGATCTAGACCCCTGGAAATAAAACGGATCTCAGTCTGGTGTCAGACCCCCTCAGAGCTCACACTGCATCCCTGAACAAGAAGACACACAAGTGATAAACACACAACTGTTAGAATCCAGATCTGAATCCAGATCTGAGTCAGGATCTGAATCCAGATCTGAGTCAGGATCCATCATCACAACAACCGTGTTCCGTCTCCTTCCTGTCAAACCAAAACAAAGCCGCTAATCTTCCACTCACCATCATCACCATCATCACCATCATCATCACCATCCTCGACTGGTTGACATGTTCACATCCCGGCCCAGCTGGGCCCGTCCAGAACCCCGAACACCGACTGTTTCCATCGCCTTCATCCCTGAGTGTAGCCCCGCGTCCCGGCAGCTGTAGGGCGGTGGATGCCCCCTCCTCCTCCCCCACCTGACTAACCATCCATCACGGGGGAAGATGGCTCTGGAACCGGGCTGGAACCAAAGAATAACCCGAGTTACATCCCGAGCAGGAGGCGAACCGGTCCGCTGCGGTCCAGACGGAGGGATAGATGCAGGAACCGAACCGAACCGACCGTAAAGCTGCCTGTTCTGGTTCTGAGAGGGTCTGCAGCAGCCCCTGCAGGCTCAGCCTTTAAACACACCGTTTGACAGGAAACGTCTTTTTTTCCTGCTATAATCTTTACATTTTTATTCAAAACGTGTATTTACACCCCACTGCCTCTGATGTGTGTCCCTTAGTGTGATTTAAAGTGCCTGTGACATTATTATTTTTAAATAAATATAAAGGCATTATTGGAAAGATAACATTATTAGCAGATTGCAAAAATTATTTCCAGCTGCTGAGATGAACAGCTGTTGAGATATTTGCATTTGAAGCAACAGGAAGTGACGTCACAGGGGAATGCCTGCATGGAACAAAGTATTGATAGAATAGCTAAGAACACACTGTAGAGAAGAATCTGATTCTTCAGATTATTTTGACACTCTCAGTGTGCTCTGAGATTATGTCTCAATCCAGGGGCTGGGTCCTCATCAGTGCGCGTTTGTCGGCCGCATACGTCATTGCCCCGCGCGGAGGACTGTCCCAATTCGAAGGCTCCTCATCATGCGGCCGAGGAATGCGTCCTACTTCCTGTCCAAATCAGAGGATGCATCATGTATCCTCACCAGCCGAGGATATCCCAGGATTCAATGCGCAGGCAGCAAAATAAACTGAGAAATGAAGACGGTGGTGTTTTTATTTTTTAACGTGTCGGCGCAGTTTGGAAATTCACCACGGACCGAAGGATTTGTTTTTTTAAAGTAAGGTTATAAGTAAAAGTAAGTTTAGCAACTTAGCTGATGAAATTTATGC